GGGGGGGGGGGGGGGGGGTTACGTTGGCAGCAGGGTGAGGGAGGCGCGTGCAAGTTATAGTAGGCAAAAAACCGGGACAACAAAAGCACTTAATGAAAAGTACTTTTGGTTTGTTAGTATTGGGGCAGACCTATCCCGGGAGGTGGGGTATCGGCATGCGCCACAGTAGGAAGGCTCGTGATAGCATCCACTCTTTTCTGAGCAGCCACACGACTCGCACACACAACAGGACGCACAACGTATGCATGTAGCAGAGCGCACAAACAATCGCCAGCAACACTCTACCGCAGGGCACGACTTCACAGCTGTTACAGCAGCCCGTCGCACCTTGAGCCAGGCATAGAAGTTGGGGTCCGGACGGGCTCCGGAGAACATGGGGATGATGTGGCTGTGTTTCCCGGGGTCGCCAAACGCCTCTAGAGCAGCGAGTCCGGCGGGAAGCTCGGAGTCCCCGCCGCCGCCGCCTTCGTTGATGGTGCCGAAAGTTTCCGAGGAGTAGGTCACGTCCAAGTTTCCGCACTTCCATTCGAACTCCCTCACAATCTGGTCGATCTGGAACGGCAGGTGATGTGTTTTAGTTGTCGTTGGTGATGCTGTTGTTGTTGTTGTTGTTGTTGTTGTTGTGAAGTGTAGCTGTTTTTGTTGTTTTGTTGGTGATGACGCTGATGATGCTGTTGTTGTCTTGTTGACGTTGTCAGATATTTGATGTTGTTGGTGTACCGAAGGTTAGTCCACTCGACGCCCCCGCAGAGACACAAAAGAGAAGAGCGGACAAAATTCTCCAAGTGCTTTCGCCACGTACAGACGTTGCGTTGAAGTGCCAGCTGAAGAAGAAAACACGCATCGATTGCGAACCCTACAGTGATACTCTATACCAATACCTCATATGTACTCCCAACCTGAAAATATATATATATATATATATATATATAAAATCACACACCCCAACACCCGTATACTGTTGCAAACGGCATATCGGTATATACACACATTCAACTTCGTTATTGAAGTATTGAAGCTTCAATACTCGCATCAGTGGTCTTACAAGCCGGTCAAAACTCTGCGTGTCATGCGCTGAAATCGCTCACACCAAAAGTAATTTACCAGAGTGCCAAAGTGTCCGAGGCGGAGACTCTGCCCCTTGATAGCAGCTCTACTCCACTCTTCACTACGTAGCCGCTCGGAGTCGTGCTAAAACTTGGGGACCAACGAGTAGCGAGATGCTCGAGATTTCGGCATGAGCTACTCGGGAGGGAGAAGCCCAAACGCGAGCCGAGTAAGCGAGGAGAGCTATCATAGCTATCCCGCACACCGGTTCTTGAAGCCAATAAAACCAACGTTCGCTACGAAATACTACACAGTATCGACGGGCTGAAGGCTGGATTGTCAAACTAGTCGACGGCTAGGAAGCGCCCTGTGGCCCAGGACTGACTCACGAGACACCAACCCACAGGGCGAGGACATTGGTACAGACGCTCCTTGTCGGATGGGAGAGAAAAAAAAAAGGGACAGAGGAGGGAAAACCTACCGTGACATTCGCAATCGGCCAAGGGACGGCCGTCACAAGAAGAAAGACTATTAGAACGCAAGTAACACCCGGGAGACTGACTAGATTGCAAGAGATAGCACCGACTGACTAGATTGCCTCGGTCTCTCATCGCTGCGTTCCTCTACTCCAGTCGATGCAATGCTGAAGAGGATGGGCGGGGGGCGGGGGGCGGGGCGACTCTCTTCTCACCATGGGGTCCCCCACAGCCCTGGGGTCTAGCACTAGCCGCAACTCCACGCTGTCCCCCACGTAGTAGGCCTCAGAGAGCGCCCGGAGAGACCGCGACAGCATGGTGGGGGGCTCTCGGATGGAATGAACAAGAACGAGGGTGATGACCGGCTTCTTCCATCGCTCCAGGGACCCCCCGGGGAGATACGCTAGCACCTGCGGGAGGGTACATGTTGGCATTGTTAGGACCAAACTTGTGCAAAAAGAGAGGCGAAATATGAGAGATGGGCGCACAGCCCATCGCAGGGTTGTTGTTCATCAAGTGTGGAGGAGCAGCAGCATGGATGCAAGGACATGGGCAATTTCTCTGTGACTGCAAGGTGTGGAAGATGGTGCTGCTGCACGGACCGGTACATTACACCGCCAACACTACCACGTCCAGAACCACTGCAACCACAAGAACAGACTCCAAAGGCAATCCACTGCACCTTCGCGGCCTCCGCTCCAGCGGCGGCACCGCCCGGCAACGGCATCCCGATCGGACGGGGGGTAGACCCTGCCCCCCCTGCGCTCCTCACCGCCGCCTCCACGGCCCTCACCACCGTCTCCTCCGGAGCAAAGTCCGACGGAGCCGCTAACATCGCGTCCAGCGCGGTGGGTCTGCCCTTCTTCTGCTTCTCGCCGCCTGCGGGGGGCATGACGGCCGGTTAAACACGGGGGGTGTAGGCTGCTAAGGGCGAGAGGTACCCCTCTCCCCCCAATTCACCGCCCAACAGTTGTTCTCTTCAAGTCTACTGCTGTACGCGTTGGCCAGGCATCACCATCATCATCACCATCATCACCATCATCTCCAACATGGGGGCGGGAGAGGAAAGGGAAAGGGAGGGCTGGGGCTCCATCTTTGGAGAGAGATCTCGCAGCACGTGGCAAGTCTCCAGCGAGCTGGAACAACAGCAGCACAGGAAGGGAAACCTACATCCCGTGCGAGCCTCCCCACGTCGCTGCCCGCTCCTCGACAGCCAATGCATTGTAGTACTTACAAGCAACATACCGAACACGGCATTAACTCGATGCAAATGGCACCTGAAGGTAGGACGCGTCTCCATCAGGAATAGCGAGGACGGCGATGCTCGTCACCCCCAACCGAGGAGCCTTCAACCACCGACGAGCAACAAAACTACGACTAAATATCACTGTTTACTTGTTCAGCTTCCTAGATCATAACCCGCCCGCTCGTTCTCTAGCTTCAAAAACAGCAAACATCCATAAAATTTTCAAGGAGAATATGAGACGTACGATAATCCGAGTGTCTTGACGGTGTTTAGCAGCAGATTTCTTACTTGGAGGTACTTCATGCTCATGGGGCGCGTCGATGTAGGCGACGATTTTGGGCGCAGTCAGCTGGAGCACCTCCGAAAGCCCGTGGTAGACTTCCAAGAACGGGTCGAGTGGTCTTCCTGCCGCCTGCCTGTAGTCTTGTCCTACCCGCACCTGGCAAAACAAAACAAACGTATGCACACGTACACACGTGGCAGGAGTGGTACGTGGTGTTGGTGGTGGTGGGTGTTCTCCGTTTCGCAAGTACTCTGAATCCGGACGCTGGACCCCCGCTATCATACCACCCCCACCCCACCGTCCCCCCTGCAGCGGGGCCTCGATGACTGGAAGGAAGCGTGGTGGTTGTTCATGTATCCGCAGCAATATTGACGTGTTTTGATTGGTCAGCCGGTTAGCACGGTCGGTGTTCATGAAGTTAACAGCTCCCGTCTCACGTGGAAAACCCCGAAGGCGTGTCCGAGGCAGAACTCCTCGGGGGTCAGGAAGTGGTGGCTGCGCACAATGTCGTAAGGGGGACCAAGGGAGGACCAAGGGCGGAAGGGCAGAGAAGGCCGGGTCATCGCAAACACAATGGTAACAACAACCACAACATAGAGAGTAGTAGCAGTAGCAGTAGCAGCAGCAGCAGCAGCAACAGCAATAACAACACCAGAACAGCAGCAGCAGCAGAAACACAATCAACCATTATGAACAAAGCAGCACCACCACCACCAACAACAACGATAACAGCAACGATACCATCACTACCAACCACAACGACAATGCTAATACCCAGTCTGCAACACCGTTACCGTCCACCTCCTACACCATCCCGACTCCAACACAAACAGACCCCTCCCCCCACCTTTTCATCTCGTCCGACCCTTGCGCCTTGCCACCCAGCCACCTGGCAAGCTTGTCCCACCTCGTCTCCCCCCCCCCCCCCCCCCCCCCCCCCCCCCCCCCCCCCCCCCCCCC